GGAGGCAGTTGTAAGAGTCTCTTATACTCTGTCTCCTGCTTGTTTTTCATTTACCTTTCTACCATCAGCCTTCAACCATCTCTTTTATTTGATTTTTGGCAAAAGGCATCAAAACCTGTAACCTTGACAAAATTCATTATATTCTGGAGACAGAGATTTCTGCTAACAGACATCCCTTGAGTAGAGAATTGAGAGATGCAGGATTCTATGACTTCTACATCAGTCTTTAGGGGTCTTTTTGGTCTGAGTGGTGCCAACTGGCTAGTAGGGGAGTAAAACAAATTCCAAATGGACAGACTTTGCTCCATCCTGTTCCTGGATAGTAAAACCCATAATATATTAGAAAAACAAGTGTAAGAAAATATCTTCATTTTGTTTTGTTTTTTGAGGAAGATTAACCCTGAGCTAACACCTGCTGCCAATCCTCCTCTTTTTGCTGAGGAAGGCTGGCCCTGAGCTAACATCTGTGCCCGTCTTCCTCTACTTTATATGTGGGACACCTGCCACAGCATGGCTTGACAAGCAGTGTGTAGATCCGCACCTGGGGTCTGAACTGGCGAACCCTGGGCCACTGAAGCAGAACATGTGAACTTAACTGCTGCGCCACCGGGCTGGCCCCAAGAAAATATCTTTGAAATCACTTTAACATAATGTTCTGCTACATCTCACAATTAATCTCTTTGCACACAACATAGCATCAACCCTTTTGGCCTTCCCCCTGCGAAGGCCTCTAGTGAAGAGTACACCGTTTCTAACAGTGAGGCACCACAAGTTGATCACATGAAGTGAGTTTTCACCAAGATGCATAAGAAGTGGAAATGAAAAGGTTAAACTTACAGTTGCATGTCTTTGAAGCTTTCCTGACAAACATCAAATTCTCAATATTTGACACCACTTTCTGGCGTCAGCTTGTAGAGCCTTTGCATTTTGAGACCTCGTTGATGACGGAGGTACTCTGAATTTGCCTAGATAAATTATTGCTCATTCTGAGCAATTCACAAATAGAATAGCCAGTTTAGATTCAGTGCTGTAGCTGCCCTAAGGCTTTGCTTCTTCACCTTCCAATTTCACCTCCTTTGCCCACAAATGTCAGCAAAAGGGCAAAACCAAGACAGTCACAGTTTCTCAGCATTTCACATTACACAATATTCTCTTGTGTTATTTGGGTTTTGATATAAATAAAGGGATTAGATTTAGATGAAACGATCTCTAAAAAACCTCTTCAGACTACAATGTAACTCAATTCTATGACTAAGAAAAGGCTTCTGTGTTTGATCAAGGTTGTTAAGAGCAGTTTCAATAGTGATGGGAGGTAGAAGTCAAATTTTTTTTTTTTAAAGATTGGCACCTGAGCTAACAACTGTTGCCAATCTTTTTTTTTTTTCCTGCTTTTCATCCCCCCAGTACATAGTTGCATATTTTAGTTGTGGGTCTTCTAGTTGTGGCATGTGAGATGCCTCCTCAGCGGTGCCTGACGAGCGGTGCCATGTCCGCACCCAAGATCCGAATAGGCAAAAACCCTGGGCCGCTGAAGTGGAGCGTGCGAACTTAACCACTCGGCCACAGGGCCAGCCTCCAAATTTCTTTTAAGAAAGGAAATTTGGGAGGTCAGAAAGACGGAGGAAGTTATCTATTTTTAAAAATACAGTTATATGTTACTTGACAGGGCTGTGTTCTGAGAAATGCGTTGTTAGGCAATTTTGTCATTGTGTAAATGTCATAGAGTGCACTTACACAAACCTAGATGGTATAGCCTGCTACACACCTAGGCTATATGGTTCTGATCTTATGGGACCACCATTGTATATACCGTCTGTCGTTAACTGAAACATTATTACGCAGCACACAACTGTGTGATGGTGTAGGAAAGGATGGAAGCTTAGAGGGACTTTTCTTTAGGTGGGGAAGAGTTGAGTTGGTTTGAAGGCTGAGAGGAAGGCAGCAACAGAAAAGGACATATTACAGATGCAAAAAAAGTGTTAATCTAAGGTCCTTGAAAAGGGGATTGGATCATGTATCGGCATTAGAAAGGAGAGGGAAGACTACTTTCTGAGAAAAGAGTGGGGAAAATTTGGTGCTAAGTCAAACGGAAGGGAAGCTGATTGGAGCAGGCATATGGGATGGCCTCAGTTATTTCAGTTAAGTTTAAGAGGCTGAAGGTAACCAGGGGTAGTGGACATAGGATCATGTGGTAACAACTGCAGAGACTGGACATTAATCGATGGTCCATAGTTAGGAGATGTAGAACCCTAGATTCAGGTTCTACACACAGGGAGCTTTCATATTGTCCATGAACCAGTATATAGCTTAAAAGGTATTTTCATATTATTTCACAACAAACATAATGTCAGCCTCAATGATATTTACTAATCATTTAAAAATATGTAAACTTAAGCCCAGTGATTGTGATTTGCTTGAGTGTTATACACCTAGTAAGTATTGTCACATATGGTTTTAATTTAGAGCCTTTGGGTTTTTTCCCTTCTTTTCTGTTTTAATATTTTGTCTTTCACTCTTATGTCTAGAAATATGCTTATAAGGTCCCTAAGGCATGAGTTTAAGCTTTCATGATAAATCACCCTCACTCTATATAAAATTACTCTGAGATTTTTCTACTTCCAGATGCATGATTTACAGCAACCCATCAGAGAAAACAAATGCTAACATTCTACTGAAATACTTTAAGTAATATATGTACCGCAAAATATAAAGTTAGTAATGCTTCTCATTCATCAAATGAAGATTTATTGAATCTCTTTTGTGCCAGGCATTTTGCTGAGCAATATGGGGAACAGAACTAGACGTTTTCTGTCTTAGACAAGTCAACTCAAAACACCAAAACGATGCTTAGAGCTATGGTAGAGCTACGCACATGGCAATATGAGAAAAGAAAGATCATGTAACTCAGCCAAGGCAGGTAAGGAAAATCCTCTGGGAGGTGACATTTGAACTGGACTTAAAGGATGACTCAGAATTAGCCTTGTTGTTTTTTGGAGGGAAGAGGGGAGAGCATTTGGAACGGGAAACGTCCTGTGCAAAACCAGTCAATGTTGGGTGTGCTATATTTGGTTAATGAAACAGTGTGCCTGGATGAAATAATGGATGTGGAGTTTGAGAGACCAAGAAAAGTCTAGGATGAATCTGAAGTTTCTGTCTTAGGCCAGTGTATGAATGCTGCTAACTTCCCACAAGATACGAAGTAAGTGAAGTCTGAGTTTGAGGGAACTGAGTTCAGTTTGGGGCGTATTACATTTGAAGTGTCTGTGAGACATCCATGTGGAGATGAACGGTTTGAAGTTGTTTTTACAGGTCGGGAGCTCAAGAAAGATTTAAGGGCTTAAGGCAGAAGAGATACAGAGACAGATTGTGAGAGGTTAAGTCTGGATATAATTACAAACAATCCAAAATCTCAGTGACTTTACAGAAAAAAGTGTCTCTTGTTCACGCTATTCGTCCAATGAAGATCGGCAGGACTGTGCTTCAGACCGACACTCACAGAACCAGGCTGATGGAGGTGTCATCATCCTGTAACCCGCTAACTGGAACCTGAGACCTTCTCAGTCACTCTAGCAAGGGAAAGACCGTGGAGGCCTCTGCGCCAGCTCTTGAATACTTTGGCCCAAAAGTAACACATCACTTCTACCTCTACCCTGTTGGTGGAACTGGTCATGTGGCCCTAACCAATCACAAAGAGGCTGAAAATACAGCCTTATGTGTGCCCAGAAGGGCAAGAAAACCAGGTATTGGTTAAGACTAGTAATGCCTGACTCACAAAGGAAACTGTATAATTAAAACTCTGATATTTCTACCATTTTATATGCAGCATACAGCTTTCTATTCTATCCAACTATCATTTCTTCAGGTTTATCACACAAACTTTGTACTCCACTCATGTTAAGATTACATGCAGTTCCCTGAACATGCCCAGTTATTTCACACTTGGATTCAACATGCAGCTTCAACATGCATCTTCATGCCTTTGCATCTCCTGTTTCCTCTGTCTGCTATGTCCTTTTCTCTCAAGCTACAAAATTACTTCCTTGAAACCTTCCCTAATGCTCTCAAGGGCAGGACTGGGCATTCCTCTTGCTCTGTGTAATCACTAAAAATCTTGTAGCAGAATTCTTAACCTCTTACGTCCTTTCTTCTTAAAACTCACCAGGCTCGCTGCTGGAAACACTTCTTTTGTTTTCCAGAAGGTGGTGCTAAAGCTCCAGTCCACGGTTTCTCCTTTGCCCACAGACACGAGTCTGTTTTTCTCAGAACACTCCGACGTTTTCTCGCTGCCACCGCACTCAGGGTCACGCACAAGGATCCGGACACAAGAATGGGAGGAGGTGTGCGTGTAGCACTGGGGGCGTTAGGGGTGCCCTTGGACCCGGTGGGGAGATCCTTGAGTGGGATACTCCCAGGACTTCCTGTGGAAGTCCTGAAGCTGTCAGCAGGAACCACTTTCCTTTAATGCCCTTTGATATTCTCATCTGCTTCCTTCACTTTCTCTGCCCTCCCCTCAGTCATGGAGGTCCCACTTCAGCACTCTGGGTGCTGCTGGAGAAATGGGTTTCTTCAGCCACAGCCCAGAGGACTGAGATGGCCTGGCACTCACTCACCGCTTTCCACCTCCTCTGAGGGAGAGGTTGCTGATGCCGGACAGCTCAGCGCCATCCAGCTAGGTGCTGGGTATGTAACCGTTAACAAAAGAGAACGTTTCCTTTTTTTGTCTCTACTGTGAAGTTACTAACACTCTATCATTTACCTTTACAAAAATTTAATAACATTAAAATGAAGAAAACTTTGCTTGAAGACTAAATACCCATTACAGTTTAAAAGAAAAATGGCACAGTTTGAAAGGTACCATTTACCCACAATGATTTTTAGAATAGTTTATAATTCAAAAAGATTACATAATATTCATCTTTCATCCTCACTTCTAAAGAACAAGAAAATGTTCCAGAAAAAGAACTGACTAAAGACTACAGAAATAAATGACAGTACACTGATAGAGACCTGAATGTTGTATTGTTAAGAAATACCTTTACTTTGACCCAGTTAACAAAGGAGCGCTCAATGCGATAAGAGGTCTTCACTTTCCCTTTTACATTAAGGGAATAAATATGGTCATGCTTAAAGGGAAAAAAAGATTGGGGCAGGGGAAGAAGACATTTAAATGTTTGAGAAAAATGTGGAGGTGACAATTCAAGCAGAAACGCAGGCTTGGTTTGCTATTATATAATGGTTGTTTTGTTATTGCTTATATAAGCAATATATAAGAGAAAGTAGTTTTTTAAAATCTAGTAAAAACTGGTAGAAGTTTTTGGCAATTTTTGTTAATTATTAGGCAATGCTTCCATATTAGAAAAAATACGTTCCTCTTATAGTTCTAAAGTAATAATCACAATTTAATAATCATTTCATATGACAGACTTATATTGCATTTCATCTTAGTGGAATATAATCCGCAAGTAGTATAAAATGGGATTTATATATATCTTGGCAGGAAATAAAGGTGATATAATAATCACTCTTACTGATCTCCACTTTTAAAAATGAATTTTAAAGAAACACATTTCTATCAAACTTAAGAGGACTCCATAATCCAAAAAAATGTAATTTAACTCAAGTTTTTAACGAGTTATTAAAAGAAAATGTATAATATAAATTAAAATGCATTTTAACAAGTTCCAAATATACTTATTATTAAATATAAAGATGTTAGTGCTGGTACATAAGAAAATATTTACAACTAATAAAAAGGAGATTGTAGAATATACATGTTCTATGTATAAAAATAAGTAAAATATTTTATAGTCCAGACCAAGGGATCTTTTCTAAGCCAGGTTTTATACATGCTACTCTATTACAATACCATTTCATTAACATTACTGGAACAGATACATGCATGGAAGAAATCTAACAATAATCTTGATTTAAAGCTCATACTGCCTTTTTAGGGCTTGTACGTCTTCTAAAGTAAAATGTTTATTTGGCCTGTCTGAGAGGTTATCAAAGAGCTGTTCAATTTGCTCCTTTTGGCCTTTGCTAATTAGTGTCAACATCATCTGAAAGAAAGAGAAAAACTATATTAGCATAAAAAATTTTCATTTTAAAGTTATAGAAACCCTAAAAAAAAATATCAATGTTAATACGATATTTTGCCACTTACCTTAAACCTTTCTGCTTTACTCAGATATAAAAGATGCTGATACACCAGTGAGGGATTTTTATCAATAAGATTATTTTTCAGAGCCTGAATGAGGAGGAGGAATGTATCCCCTTCAAGTTTGTTACTCAACAACACTGGCAAATCTTTTGGTTCAGTGATGGCTAAAAGGTGTGCACAAGCTTCTTTATCTTTCCTACTACTGATGGCGTTTATAACCTGACCAAATTCATAGGCATTGTTAGGCTTGATGATTGACAGTTTTTCATAGTATTCTGGTGGCCCATTGCTTGTGTCCCCCTTCTCAGAAGCAAGGCAGTCAGTGGAGACCTCCTCTGAGGTCCTCTCAGGCTCTTCTTCATGGCCTTCATTCACCTTCATGAGGAAAAAAATTATACTGTGACACAACAGCCACCACACACATCCCAAGTTACATTTATTAAAATGGGAACCAACTGAAAAACACAAGTAGGTTGTATTTTAGTCAAGTTCTAAGTGAAAAATGTGTAATTTGTAATAAGTCATAAAATCTACTTTTTTCAGGAAGAGAAGTTTTAAGATAAGTATCCATAGTTTTAAAAAATGTTTTGACATTGAAAATGTGACAAAATTTTTAAATAATTTTCCATGAATAAAGCTGCTGTATAAAAGACGACCTAGAACAACTTTATTTCTTTTTCATGATAAATTTTACATTTACTTATTTCTTTACATTTAACAGAGAAGTGAACTTCCATTTTTCAGTTCCCTAAAAATAGTTTTTTCTTCCCTTGTTAGGGGGAAAAAACTTCCTAGCTTCACTCACATATTAGCCTCTTACTTTTAGTGGAAATGTAAGACGATAAATGGGATGATATAAGCATTCACAGGAGTTCACGAGCTGACATTCTTTACCAAAGGCAAAGCAAAAAGCCAGCACAAGACACTGAGTTATCTGAAATCACGAAGGAAGGTTTGATTCTTGGATTCCAAGATCTCTGATGAGGCCAGTCTCATTTCAGAGTGCTAAAAAGGTCTGAACCAATCTGGAAAATCTCTATGGGTTCTGGTTTGCAAGGCCACTGAAACTGGGTCAGTCCTGTCAGGATTCTCCAGGCCTACCCTGAAGAAAAGCTCAATGGCCACAGGCTCCCAGAGCAATCTGGAATGGGAGCAATACAAACCACAGGCCAGAAGGGGAGGTGGGGGGCAAAGAAAAAAAGAACCTCAATAATGCAGACTCCCAATATTGCCCACGGACCCAAGTTGGGAAATAGAATGGCTGATTACCACAGCAAAGGAAAACTTTCGTCTTTAAAATTGGTTAAAATTTTTCATTGATTATCAGAAAAATAACACAAAATGAAAAAATGTTTACAGAACTCAGAGGAATATGACCTTAGAATCCAATATAAGATCCTCAAGAGTATTTTCAAAGATAATCAATTACAAATACCTCTTGAATCTCAATTTTCCTCCTCTCCTTTTCTTTGCTGAATGACACTGTATTATCCTTAATAGTCAGGAATCTGGTCACCTCTTCCAGCTCTGCCTTTGCCTCAACAATACTTGAGTCTAACAGGATAACTTTATTGAGATCGTTTAAACTCTTCTGATAATTCTGAAAGTAGAAAGGCAGAGAAAGTAATTTCCATAAATAAAAGGAGAAGGGGCGCAGATCAGCCCAAGTGGGAGTGCGAACGCTCAGCTGAGTGGTGCAGTGTGTGTACAGTGGGTTCCCATTAGCACCACGATGATCGAGTGAGGCCCCTGCGGTAACTCTTAGGCTAAAATATTAGAACTCATAACACAGCGAACATCCCCTATAGAAGAAAGGGGACAGAATCTGGAGTTAGAAGACTCAAGTTCAATTCTGTTTCACCACAATCTTCACAGTCCCTAACACATGGTAGGCATCTGTTGTCTGCTAAATGAATGAAAGAAAGAACGAACATTCTCATATTTGCACCTACTAGCAGTGAAACTTGAACAAGATCCCATTTAACCTGAGCGTCAGTTTTCTCATCTTTAAAAAAATGATAAGAGCTTCTCTACTCTAGTTTTTACAAGGCTGTACCAAGTAATAAATGAATTAATAAAATCATATATGAGTGGTTTAAACCTATAAAAGGGTATACAAATGTTAGTTGTTACCATAATATCTTGTTCCATAAAACCCTTCAAAGTTGTATACTGTAATACCCTAGAGTCAACGTTCATTCTTCCATAGAGTCAGTCAGTACACCGGGGAGGTTGAGGGGGAAGAAAAGGAATCTAAGCTTAACAAAACACAGCACAGAACTGGTAGCAGAAACAGATGCCACAAAATCACAGTCTGTTGTGACGGGCCATATTCTAGAACTAAAGACTAGATCCAGGTTTTGATTAAACCAAAATTAATTCTGTGAGGAGGCGAAAAATTCCCAAGATGTGTAACCTCTCTAGGTATTCGTGACATTCAATGACAGCATGCACTGGAGGCTGAGGCACAGGTAAGCTAAGCTAGTGGTTATGTGACATTCCTGGGGGACTAGCTATAATGCCACATCCCTTCCCTCTCCACCCAGCAACACACAAGAGTAAGAATGATGTGTTTAAACCTTAAATCTGCTCTAATTTATAAAAAAAGGTAAATTATTTACAAACTATAGAACATTATGTACTATTAGTAACAAATCTCCACATACCACTGTGTCACAACAGCACAGCTGGAACCTGCTACAGAAAAACAAATGACAGTGTCTCCTATTCCAAGTGTCCCAGGCAGGGAACCACACTGAAAGGAAGTGAGGCAGCAGGGCAAGGTGGGGTAGTAGGAACAGCTAACTCTTACCCTTCTCAGTATTTTGCAAGTATTATTACTTTACTCTCAAATAGCACACTAAATACTACCTTTTATTGTCCCATTAAAGATAAGGAAACTGAGGCATAGAGAGAGAATCTTTGGGATGATCAAGGCAGCAATGACCAGAAGGCGAATGGTGATAAGAGTCGTGGAGCTCAAGTAAGAGGCCTGAAAATAGGAATTTGTGAGCTACAGCCTTGGAAATGGAAGTTCAGCACAGGAGTTGATATGATTTTTTCATCCATTCAAGAAAAGTCTGTGCCTAAAGAGCAATCTGTGTGGTTGGAGGAGACCTAAGAAAACAGGAAATACACTTCAATGAGTGTTAAAACAGAGGCAGGTAAGTGGGAAGAGAAGGCGGGACAGCAGGAAGGGCGGGGACAGCATCAAGCAGGAAGGCAGTGCAAGAGGAGGGGCCAGCCTGCTGGATCAGAGAGTGGTCAGGCAAGGTCCACTCACTTGACTGATGCCACTGGACACATCGCTGTACTGAGACCTGAACACACCGTGCGAGAAGGACAGCGATGGCCCCCACCTTTGTGAAGGGAAACTGTAAGAAAACAAGTAAACAAATGAATGAGAGAGTGTGGACTGTCATTAATGCAATTAAGAAGACCAAGGGTTGAGATGGATACTAAGGAGGGGAAAGGAGTCTCCTTTTGATACAGATGTCAAACAACACAAGATGAAGAGAAACCAGCCATGCAGTGTGGAGGGAAGAGCAGAGCTTATACAAAGAGAAAAGGGGGCTTTGGAAAAAAGGAAGACATTAAAAGTTGCTGATGACCTTATCAGGCCTCAAAAAAAAAAGACAAATATAATTACATGTGTGTGTGATAATGTTTACTATTAACAGATGTGCTTAAACTATAATAACAATTATTTTATAAGATAGTATTCTTTGATATTTTTGGCCTTGTGGCATCCCTGGGTGGCTGTAAATTCCTTACGGCAGGCACATGTCTTATTCACCTCTTTGCTCCAAAAGCCTAGCACCTAAGTTGGACTCAATAAAAGGAACAAATTGTAAGTAAAAGCAAAATGTTCAGTTATCTTTCCTTGTAAAGAACAGCTGCACATTAAGAAAAGTCCTGTTATTTTTCAAAACTGGCACACAGAAAAACAAGATTAAAACCAGTTAGAAAACAAACAAAAGATCTAGGAAAGCAGACTGTTCAGCTGAGAGTTCCAGGCGGGTCCCTGCTCACCGCGAGCCCCTGTGCACTTCCTCCTGACAGAGGGAGCAGATCCGGGCGTGAGTTCTGACACACTGCATGAGCAGCTGTAGCCTTTGAAGATTCTGAAATTAAATTCACTTGGCACACAATTCAAACCACAGGATACATAAATCAAGCTGTAAGAAGCCAAACCAGAAAGACAAGCTGCCAGCCTCATAATCTAGTGGGATAGGATTACTCAAATTTGGGGTGATTTTTCTGCATCATAATACAATGTCTAGAATTCATTCCAAGGAAGTATAAAATTCTGGTCTTTCATTATGTACACCTTCTGACTTTCAGTCAGGTAAACAAGTTCAAACAGTCAGGCAGCCAGTATAAGGTCAACTGGCTCTAAGAGTCTGGCCATACATAAACTCGAGTCATGCACGTCTACCCTTCTGTATCCAAAACCATTAAGCTCAAAAAGTGTAAGTAAAGTTTGAAGAAACCTGTTTTAATTCACGGTGCCACACACCATCTAGGAAATCTTTACGTGAAGTTTACAAATGAGTGTGTTGCTAACCAACAAAAAGGGGCAGGGGCAGGCTGCACCAGCACTGTGAAAACAGTGCAGCTGGGGAGCTCCCGAGTGGATGAACGCATTCACACACCAGGAGGGTGGTGCACTCTAGTTCTATGCAGACACAACTCCTGCACTCGAGCCCCTTCTGCACCTTGACCTATGACCCTCTTCATCTGACAATTCAACAAACTGGGACAGGAGAGAGGGAGGGTGGGCAGCAGCATGGCTCCACGGACCTGGGGATCATGTCTCAGCATCTGTACAGGTGTGGCTCTACTGCAACCTCTAGGATCTAGAAAAGCCTGATCACTCAATGCACACAGATCATACTCATTTAGATACTACGCAAAAACATCACTGCCCTCTCCCAACAAAACCTAGGTTTTACAAAATATATTTTTAGATATTTCCCTGCCAGTGATGGGCATCATTAAAAGAACTATATCAAACTCGGTAAGGTCAAAAGCAAACTATCCCTCTCCCCACTCAAACCTCTCCCTCCTCCTGTTCACCCTCCATTATCACACTTCACCACTCAGTTACCCAAACCAGAAACCTGGGAGGTAGCCCCTTTGTTTCTTCCCCCACATATTTTACTGCTCAGTATGTCCTGTCAACTTTACCCTCAAACAACCTTCAATTAATCCCTCACCTTCTGTTATGGGCTGAATTGTGTCCCCCTGAAAATGTGTATGATGCACTCCTAACACATAGTATTTCAGAAGTAACCATGTTTGGAGCTAGTCTTTAAAGGGGTAATCAAGTCAAAATGTGGGTGGGCCCTAATCCAATATGACTAGTGTCCTCATAAAAAGAGGATATTTGGACACACAAGTACAGAGGGAAGATGAAGTGAAGACACAGGGAGAAGACAGTCATCCTCAAGCCAAGGAGACGGGCCCAGAACACATTTCCTCACAGGCCTCAGAAGGAAGCTGCCAACACCTTAATCTCAGACGTCTAGCCTTCAGAACCATGAGAAAATAAATTTCTGCTGTTTAAGCCCCCATGTGTGCTACTGCTGCAGCAGTCCCAGCAAACTAATACACCTTCCCTCTTCCCTCTGTCACTACCTTCTTTCAGGTATCTGCTTCTCACCTTAGTGGCCTCTCACCAATCTCCCTACTCCACGCTGGACCTCCCTCTCTGATCCACCTTCTACATTGTTCCCAAATCTGATCCATCATGCCACCCTTTACCACCCTTTGTGGGCTCCCATCACCTTCAGGATCAAGCCTAGCCTCCACAGCATGGCCTCCCAGGCCATCTCTCTCTATCCCCATTGCCATCCACACCTGGCCTCCAGCTGTACCAGTTCATGAACAAGTCCATAAAAAATGTGCACAAGAATGTCATAGCAGCTTTATTCATAACAACCCCAAACTGGAAACACCTAAATGTCATTAATTGGTGAATATGTAAAACAAATTGTGGTATATTCATACAACTCAGCAATAAGAAGGAATAATTCCTGATATTCACACAATATGGATGAATCAGATGCTATACTGAGCAAAAGAAGCCAAAGAGTAGAGTACATTCTATATGATGATATTTACGTTGATGTCAAAAAGAAGCAAAATTAATCTATAGTGACAGAAATTAGATGACTGATTGCCTGGGGCTGGGGTAGAAAGAGGGAGATTAAGGGCAACAGACATGGGGAACTTTCTGGAGAGATGAAAATGTTCTTTATCTTGATTGGGGTGGTGACTACATGGGGATATACATTATTCAATAGTTAATGACCAAATTAAGAAAACAATCCCATTCACAATTGCATCAAAAAGAATAAAACACCAGGCCGGCCCCATGGCCAAGTGGTTAAAGTTCCATGCACTTCACTTTGGTGGCTCACAGTTTGCAGGTTTGGATCCGGGGTGCAGACCTACTCCACTCATCAGCCATGCTGTGGCAGCAACCCACATACAAAGTAGAGGAAGACTGGCACAGATGTTAGCTCAGGGCTAGTCTTTCTCAAGCAAAAAAAAAGGAGGATTGGCAATGGATGTTAGCTCAGGCCAAATCTTCCTCACACACACACAAAGAATAAAATACCTTGGATTAATTTAACCAAGGAGGTGAAAGATCTGTACACTGAAAGTTACAAGACACTGAAGAAAGAAACTGAAGAAGACATAAATGAATGGAAAGATGTTCCATGTTCACGGATGGGAAGAATTAACACCATTAAAACATCCATACTACCCAAAGCAATCTACAGATTCAATGCAATCCCTATCAAAATTTCAATGGTATTTTTCACAGAAATAGAACAAACAATCCTAAAATTGGTATGGAACCACAAAACACCCTGAATAGCCAAAGCAATCTTGAAAAAGAAGAACAAAGCTGGAGGCATCACACTTCATGATTTCAAACTACATTACAAAGCTACAGTAATCAAAATAGTACAATACTGTTATAAAACAGACACACAGATCAATGAAACAGAACAGAGCCAAGAAATAAACCAACACATTTATGGTCATCTATTTTATGACAAAGAAGCCAAAAATTCTCAATGAGGGAAAGATAGTCTCTTCAATAAATGGTGTTGCAAAAACTGAACAGCCAAATGCAAAAGAATGAAACTGGACCACTATCTAACACCATATACAAAAATCAACTCAAAATCAATTAAAGACTTGAACAAAAGACTTGAAACCATATAACTTCTAGATGAAAACATAGGCAGTAAGCTCCTTGACCTTGGTCTTAGTGATGAATTTTTGCATTTGACACCAAAAGCAAAGGCAACAAAACCAAAAATAAACAAGTGTACATCAAACTAAAAATTTTCTGCACAGCAAAGGCAATCATCAAAAAAATGAAAAGGCAACCTGCTGAATGGGAGAAAATATTTTCAACTCATGTATCTGATAAGGGGTTACTATCCAAAATATGTAAAGAAGTCATACAACTCAATAGCAAAAAACACAAACAACCCAATTAAAAAATGGGCAGAGGAACTGAACAGACATTTTTCCAAAGAAGACGGATGGCCAACAGATACATGAAAAGATGCTCAACATCACTAATCATCAGGGAAATGGAAATCAAAACCACAATGAGATACCACCACACCTGTTAGAACGGCTATCATCAAAAAGACAAAAGATAAGCGTTGGTGAGAATGTGGAGAAAAGGGAACTGTTGTGCACTGTTGGTGGGAATGTAAATTGGTGCAGCCAGTATGGAAAGCAATATGGAGATTCCTCAAAAAATTAAAACTAGAACTACCATATAATCCAGCAATTTCACTTCTGGGTATTTATCTGAAGGAAACAAAACCACTAACTCAAAAAGGTATATGCACCCTCATGTTTATTGAAGCATTATTTACAATAGTCAAGACATGGAAACAACCTAAGTGTCCACTGATGAATGAATGGACAAAGAAAATGTGGTCTACATATACACAATGGAATGTTATTCAGTCATAAACAAAGAAGGAAATCCTGCCATTTGTGACAACATGGATAGACCTTGAGGGTATTATGCTAAGTGAAATAAGTCAGACAGAGAAAGACAACTACCATATGATCTCACTTATATGTGGAATCTAAAAAATAAAAAACTAAACTCAGATACAGAGAACAGACGAGTGGTTGCCAGAGGTGAGGTGGGGGGTGCGAGATGGGGAAATGGGTCAAGGGGATTAAAAGGTACAAACTTCCAGTTATAAAATAAATAAGTCATGATGATGTAATGTACAGCATGGTGATTATAGTTAACAATACTGTACTGTATTACTTGAAAGTTGCTAAGAGTAGATCTTAAAAGTTCTCATCACAAGAAAAAAATTTGTTAACTATGTGTGGTGATAGATGTTAACTAGATATACTGTGGTGACCATTTTGCAATATACACTTATATCAAATCATTATGTTGTACACATGAAACTAATACAATGTTATATGTCAATTATATCTCAATAAAAAAAATCTTTGAAGAGAAAAAACAGTCAATGACCTGCACACTTACAATGTGTGAGTTTCATTGTATTAGAACTTAATCAAATTGATTTTTTATGTGTGCATAAGGAAGACTAGTCCTGAGCTAACATCTGTTGCCAATCTTCCTCTTTTTTTGCTTGAGGAAGTTTGTCGCTGAGCTAACATCTGTGCCAATCTTCCTCTATTTCGTATATGGGATGCTGCCCCAGCATGGCTTGATGAGCAGTGCATAGCTCCACGCCTTGGATCTGAATCCACAAACCCTGGCCCGCTGAAGTTGAGCGGCGCGAACTTAAACACTACACTACCACGCTGGCCCTCAAATTGATTTTTAAAAAATATCGTTTCAGGAAATGCCATTTCCCAGTATGTTCTGATTTTTCCTTGTGATGTTATTTTCTACAAAAGTAGAAACTCAAGTTTTCCACGCAGAAGAATTAGCATAAAGAAAAGTGCACTTATATGATACTTTCTTTGAAAATAATAGCGTAATTTTCTTAGAGAAGAATATCATTCTATAGTCTCACACTGACCACCAGCCAGTTTAAGGACCAAATCACCATGAGCTTCCCAATCTCTGATATGTCTCTACCAACTTTCATTGGGTAACCCTGTTTTCCATTCTGATGCTTCCCCCCACCCCATCCACAACCCCAGTCCTTTGCTGGAGGAATCCAGTGACACTGCTGGTGGCCTTCAATAACTAAGCAACACACCTTCCTGTCCCTTAAAGTGGGCCTATTTTAAATAACAACACTCCTGAGAAAATCAGGCAATCATCATTTTTGAGCTGAAAGGAATCTTAGAAATTATCTAGCTCCACATTATAGTTAGGGGAAACATAAGGCCTATTCCATAGTTTAGGACTGATTAGTATGGAACTAGGATTAAATTCCAGGATAATCTCATTCCCATTCCATGATCCTCAGATTTTTTTTTTTTTTTTTGAGGAAGATTAGCCCTAAGCTGGCATCTGCTGCCAATCCTCCTCTTTTTGCTGAGGAAGACTGGCCCTGAGCTAACATCTGTGCCCGTCTTCCTCTACTTTATATGTGGGATGCCTGCCACAGCATGGCTTGACAAGTGGAGCATAGGTCCACACCTGGGATCCAAACCAGCGAACCATGGGCTGCTGAAGCAGAATGTGCAAACTTAACTGCTGTGCCACTGGGCTGGGCCCCCTATGATCCCAAGATTTATGTTCATGAAAACCACATGATTTGTTCAGAGCTGAAACTTACATATTAAAATGACCATTTCCTCACCTTGAGTCCTTTATGAGCAAGGGCTCGTCTATAGCATGCTTTCACATTCCTGTTGTCTATTTGGAGCGCCTGATCACAGTCCTGCTTTGCCTCTTCAAACTGGCCCAGCTTCAAGTAACAGAGAGCTCTGGTGTAATGTAATGGAACTCAGTATTACAAAAGGTAAGGACAACACATCTGAAAATCTAGACAGCTAATAAAAATCAGAATATAGCTCAACATGTGTTTTTATACCACACTTGTTCAGTTGAAACCTAACATTTTACAACGATTATGGGATTATGGCATTTTCTTGTAATACATGTAGTTATGGCACTGGGGATACAACCACAAACAAAATACAGTCCCAGCCCTCAAGGAGGCTGCAGTCTAGTAGAAGAGACAGACAAAACAAGCAACACAAGGGGCCAGCCCAGTGGCAAAGTGGTTAAGTTCACGCACTCCACTTCGGTGGGCTGGGGTTCCCAGGTTCAGATCCCAGGTGCAGACCTAGCACTGCTCGTCAGGCCACACTGTGGCAGCGTCCCACATAAAACAGAGGAAGATTGGCACAGACGTTAGCTCAGCGACAATCTTCCTCAAACACACAAAAAAGCAACACAATAAAATCTGTCCAGGATGCTCTAGGAGCACACAGCTGAGAATCTCATCAGATCTGGTGGGGCAGAGGTCGGAGGAGGAGACTTCTTGGAAGAAGTGACATTTAAGTTGAAGCTCAGAGTACGAAATGAGAATTATCCAACGGGAAGGCATTAAGCTGAGAGTTAAGATGTAGACGGGATGGGAGAGTGGAGGCCAAGGGAACAGCATGTACAAAGTCCTACAGTGAGAGAGAACACGGTACTCTTGATGGACTAAGAAAAGTGCTGGAGCACAGGGATGAGACTGGAGAGTGGGCAGGTCAGATTGTGAAGGGCCTTGTAAATCATGGCAAGGAGGCCGAGCTTTATCCTGAGCATAAAGGAAGTCCTCTGCTGGGTCTTTGAACAGGGCCTGACATGTTCACGTTTAAGAACGATCACTCTAGCTACAACTTGGTGATGAGACAGGAGGGAACAGACTGTGCAGGGACACTGTGGAGGGTGCTGTAGATATCCAGGAAAAATCGGTGGTGGCCCAGAGCAGGGGCTGACAGTGAAGGTGGAGAGAAAGGCTCACGCTGAAAAAGAACTCAGAAGGTAGGACCTCAGAGCCTGCTGACGGACAGGGGAGGGAGGCAGCGGTCAGGGATGATAACCCATCGTGAGTGCAGAAGGGAGGGCTGTGCTCAGGTGTGGAGTTCAGAGACAGAAGTTTAAGGCATACAAGTGAAAGGTGGTAAATGGAGCCGGAGAGAGGATGAAATGGCCCAGAGAGCATACAGAGCAGAAAAGGGATCTACACCTTTAGCATCTGGCGAATACCAGGAAAAGAAAAGCCTGCAGAGGGAGAAGAGGAAAGCCAGGCCAGTGAGCTGTTGGCACTGCAGCCAAGGTCGGGGGAGGGCTCCAGGGAGATCCGAGCGGACATTAATGTCCAATGCCACGGAGGCTGAACCAGAGAAGGGTGGAAAAACACCTGCTGGATTTAGTGACAAAATTTTTGGCAAAAAGGTTGCCCAAAGAAGAAAACATGTACAAAAACAAAGTGGTGAGAGGTTAAGTTAAAAAGACTTCATCTGAAACAGCTGGGAAAACTTGCGCTGTGAGTCCGTGCTCTTTAGGAACTGTACCTTACTCTTCCTTGCCACCCCAGACTCTACCCACTCCCTAAAAATCCCCAAATCACCACCTTCCAGATAACCGTCTTTTACCATAATGTGGTAAATGTGGTAATGTGAGCGGCACTCTAGAACAATCTGCCCTCCCCTACTGCACACTAAAAGATGCTGGTCCCGTCCCTCAACACTTCAAGAGAAAAAAAGCACTGAAAACTCTTGTTTGAAAGGCAGCTGATTCCCGCTCCAACCACGGAGGACACTGCTCATGCGTGGCTGGCTGCAGTGGGGCCAGACGGCCGGCCGGGAAGTGTGAGAGCAGTACCAGCCAAGGCACGCCCGGCACTGGGCACATCAGACCCCGGCCCACCACACTCAGGTTTTCAACCTCTTCGGAACTCCTATGGCCGCTCTTTGAAAAACACTCACCTAGGACAATTTGCTATATAAATTCTCAGAACCCTAGAAAAGAACTTTGGCAATTAATTCATCTATATTTTTTAATCAAAAATATTAACATAAGAAATACATAGTTACAAAGAACTTGCCTGTTTGTATAAATGGCACATTCCTTGTTGTTAATCTTTAAACATTCACTGTATTTGCTAAGGGCATCTTCATAGTTTTTGTCCTTTACATATTGATTTCCTTCTTCTTTAAGAGTTTTAAACATTTTTTCATCTATGGGACCCAAAAAAGAAAAAAGAGGAAGTATTCATATAAGTAACTCTACAAAACCTTAAGTACATCTGCAAATAAACCTACTATTGCAAATTAATTTGACCATGCAGAGCCAAAGTCTAAATGGAACAAACCTTTGTACACAAATTAAAAAGATAAATTGGCTATAAGTAAAAAATGATTATATAATTATGACAATGTTTTTTCAAACTAGAAGATAAAATACAAGTCATGCTATCATTCTGCCATGCCTTCTTTTCTCTGCTGGAGATACAAATATCTACAGTGGTTTGGGTTAATAACTATTCCATGAAAGAAGAACAAACACACCTGTTAAAGCCTGAAGTAGACATCTGTACAGCACCCCAAATTTCCTTGGAGAATCACACCTCCTCCACTCTCAGTTCTTGTGGTGTAGGTTAAGCGAACCCCACTCTAGCCCTGCCATTTGGGGTATCTTTGTTATTAATCAGCACATTATATTCCCTTGGCCACAATAATCTAATTGTTCCTGGATGGGCCTACAAGAGCCAATGTGCTACAATAAGATTTTGTGGCAGCTTCTGGTAAGATAAGTCTTGCTCTTTCCCATGGAATATGAGGGTGACAAAAGGAGCTACTGCATCACCCTGTGGTACAAGGGAAGAGTTCTAAGAATGGGGCCAACAGAGCAGGAGAGAAGCCAAGATGGAGAGTTAAGGAAGAATCTCTGATCCTGAATCCAGCCATCCCTGCAGCTACTCCACCCGTGGACTTTTCCACAATAGAAACCATTAAATAACCTTTTTATTGTTTAAGCCACTAAGGGCTGGGTTTTCTGTTGCCATTCTATTACCATTACCTATCATCTTGCAGTTATCATGGCTGAGTCCCAGCTCGGGATCCATTTCCCCCTTCTTAAGGGTACCTCGATATTCATTCAGCCCATGTGTTCAGGCGAAGGTGACCCCACTGATCAGGGCATGGCACTTCTTCATCATGGAGATTGGCTCAGGAATGGGCACATGACCCATTAGAATAATGAGAATAAGCATCAACAGAATTCAAGGCAACAGAATAACAGGAGAACAAAGCTAGGGCTTCAGGGCAACATATTTCCTCATTCTTAACGCCACCAAAAGCTGTGGTGTCTCCCTGTGGACATTAATAGGTGCAGATATGCAACTTGACACTGCTGTGCTTCTACTCTTTCTGGCCAGAGCTTGAGCTGATGAGCCGTGATTTCAGAGCCTGCCTGGGGCCTTGCAGTCACATGAGCCAAAACCATTCCTCACAGTTGAAGTCAACAGAATTTCTGTGACCTGTAATCAAAGTGTCCTAACACATACAAAGTGTTAAAATTTAAAGTTCTGAATCTATGCAATAACTTTACCCTATAGAGTAACCTGATATAAAATAAAAATCCATAACTTAAAATTTAAAATATACCTTTAAATTCTGCGATTTAAAAACCTTGATAGATGTACTGAATTTATAGTATAAACTTGAAAGGTAAACAATAATCTTATTTGTCCCTCTGCACAAATGGCATGAAACAGTAATTTCTAATCTTTTATTTCAAATCACAGAATATTTTTGCCTAATGTTTCATGTTTCAAAAGATCTCACACCAATAGGGCCAAATGACTCTCCCTATACATCCTGTTATATAGAAGCCCTAAACTAGAATATTACATAGGATTTTTTTCCCTCAATTTGCTGAAAAACTTTCCTCAAGCTTTTCTTCTCCCAATGTTTTTAAACCTTTGCTTTCCATTCTTACTAATAACTAGTATACAAATATGAACAGAAAGAGCTGATTATACTTGTGCTTAGGATTTGCTATCATATATCTATAGTATGGTTAGTAGATACACTCTGTTAATAATAAATAACTACCCTTTATTGAGCAAATGCTTTGTGCCAGGCCCTATTAATAACAGACCCGAGAAAACTAGAGATCTCCATGATTTGCCTAGGACTGCTAAATCATCTAAAAGTGTTGGCAGATGTTCCCTGCATTTTTCTAGGCAATGCAGAGGATGAGGGTGCAACACTAGCCACTGGCATATCACGGCTCAGGAACCTCAGGGTGCAGCAAGATGAAGCTCAATCTAGGGACACACATGGAGTTCTCAAACAGGCAGGAGAAATGGGGCCTCAGCTGCCTTTAAAGCAGAAAGCAAGAGTGAAGTCACATTTACTAAATACTCTGCATGAAGTAAGGAGGGAGGCACTGTGGGAACGCAGATCTGTTAACAACCATGACATAAGATGGAAGGAAGTACCTGCTAGATATTTATGTTGTAGAGTTTTATTTTGTTTTATTATTTCAAACACATCAATATTACTTCACTAGCCTTGCCACAGACATGGTGTAGTAGAGAACTATATGCTACTTAATTCTTTTTCTTCTTAATAGTAATGCTAATTTAACCTTTATTAAGGGGCTACTATAAGCTTACACAGTCAGCACATGTGCTAATATTTTATGTGTATATCTCTATCTGTTCCTCAGAACAACTCCATGAGATAGTTGTTCATATTTCCCCCTTTCACATACACTAGGACACTGGAGGTGTGAGGCAACTTTTAAGACTCTGTAGTTAGAAAGAGGAAGAACAAGGTCTTAACTTAAACCCAGGTCTGATGCTTGAGTTTATGCTCTTATCCTTCTGCTTTACTGTGAAAATATCCACACGGCTCAAGATAACCCTCAGAAGAAATGAGTGTAGGCTTCCTCTACCTGTGACACATGGTTGGTGATGGTTGCTGGAGTCTCCCTCTTGGTCTGGGGGTGTCTCTGCTGCAGGCCACCAAGCTCGCAATTGCACAGAAGCAGGCACAGCAGGAATGGGTGACAGCTTCTCCCGCCAGCTTGGTCCGTCCAGATCTATTAAAATTCTTGTTATTCTAAAAAGAAAATGAGTTTTCACTTATTGATCATGCAGTTTACCTTTTATAATATGAAGGTCACATCAAGAGTAAGACTTAGGGGGCTGGCTCAGTGGTGTAGTGGTTAAGTTCATGCGCTACGCTTTGGTGGCCTGAGGTTTGTGGCTTTGGATGCTGGGTGTGGACCTACACACCACTCATCAGGCATGCTGTGGCGTGACCCACATACAAAGTAGAGGAAGACTGGCACAGATTTTAGCTCAGGGACAATCCTCCTCAAGCAAAAAGAGGAAGATTGACAACACATGTTAGCTCAGGACCAATCTTCCTCACAAAAAAAAAAAAGAGTAAGACTTAAAAATGCTCAGCCTTTGTGTATTTCCCTGAAGAATACACAATCTTGGGCTATTTGCTGTCCACATAAACTGTCTTCAAACAAACTTTTAAAAGTTAGCAAAAACTATGTAACTTTAGATCCTTTTTGTATCAAAGCAAAAAATTAGGACATTTCTAATTGGTTTTAAAAAAATTTTTAATGTATATGCAATAAATTTTTGTGGGTGTGTGAGGAAGATTGACCCTGAGCTAACATCTGTTGCCAATCTCCCTCTTTGCGCTTGAGGAAGGCTATTGCTTAGCTAACATCTGTGCTAATCTTCTTCTATTTTGTTGTAGGATGTTGCCACAGCACAGCATCAGGACTGGTGTGTAGGTCCGCATCCCAGATCCGCAATCATGAACCCTAGGCTGCTGAAGAGGAACATTCAAACTTCACCACCACAGCACTGGCCCTGCAATAAAATTTTAATTTTTGAAAAAGAGAAATATAAAACTAAAATTTAGGAGGCCTAGAGGAAATGTCCCACACAGCATTTCATACAGTTACTAAAGCGATAATGTACTACTCTTGAGAATCATCAGAAGTACTTTAGAATTTCTATGTCCAAACCGTACACTAAAGACAGGTGTACATGACTAGCTGCTAACTGATGAGGGCCTAGCTTTCACATGGAATACTGCGTTTTCTTCAAACACTTACATGTAGTTAAGATACTGCTACCTTGTGTGTTTTTTCATCTCTAAAATTCCACTTGTTTGTTTTCATATGCATACAGAAGAAGGAACAGGATACTGCGTCTACTACGAGGGCTCCTGCATCTATGATATTTACTAACGGCTGTCATAACATTCACATTAAGGCCCCCGATTATGACTTTCTCACCATTTTAAACATACAAAAATATCATACTTAGATTTAAAACCAAAATTGAATTACGTCTTTGGGATGAATCCAGTTTAAAAAGGATGATCCCCAAGACGAGAAGGTTTACTGTAATTAGTAGAATTCATTCGAGTTAGTTAACTCAGTAGTACTTTTTGTGTGAAAATTTTTATATTCATATAGAGTCAAATATAATACACATACTTTCCCTACAGTTTCTTAAACTGAAATTTCAATAGTGATCTTTAGTTATGATAACCAAATCTCACATATTTTAGTATAAAAAATAAATTTGAAAAATAATGTATGACCACCCACAACTGTAGAAGAAAAAGAAGCTTTAGAAAAAAGAATTTTCAAGCAAAACTTGTATTACCAGCAGAGAGGAAGGAAGAAGCAGCTGAAAAGAGATGATGTGTTGCCAGGGAGTAAATAAGTATATGCAGGGAAACTTAACATATAAGATTCCTGGAGAGGAAGAGAGGAATATGGTTAATGGAAGACAGAAACAAAATAAGCACAGAGGTTTACGTTAAAGAAAAAAAAGCTGCTGTTTCTTAGATAGAAAAGCAAGAATAAATATGGGATTCATGAAAAAGAATAGTGAAATTTCAAAAATGGATATTTTATGTAAAAATATGTATGGCAAAACCAGACAAAACCTCCTCATCTTCTTATAAAACGATGCATCAGCAAGAACTATTCAATTAAAAAAAGAATGAGTCTTAAAAGTCAATTTGCATAAAAGAAGCTTCTTGGGTACACTATAAAAAGTATAATACAATCCTCAAAAAGCTAAACATAGAATTACCATATGACCCAGCAATTCCACCCCTAGGTATACACCAAAAGGAAGTGAAAACAGGTGTGCAAACAAAAACCTGTACAGGAATGTTCACAGCAGGACTATTCACAATAGCCAAAGGAGGAAATGACCCAAATGTCTATCAATAGATGAATGGATAAACAAAATGTGGTGCATCCAGACAGAGGAATATTATTCAGCCACAAAGAGAAATGAAGCACTCACACGCTACACCATGGGCGAACCTTGAACACATTAGGCTAAGTCAAAGAAGCCAAACACAAACTGTCCATACTCTATGATCCATTTATCTAAACGACCCAGAACAGGTAAATCACAGACAGAAAGCAGATCAGCAGTTGCCAGGAGCTGGAAGAAGGGAGAATGAGCAGTGACTGCTTAACGGGCACAGAATTTCCTTCGGAAGTGATGAAATGTTTTGGAACTAGCTAGAGGTGGTGGTTGCACAATATTGTGACTGTACTAAGGCCATTAAATTGTACACTCTTAAAATAGTTACTTTTATGTTTTGTGAATTTTACTTCAATTTTTTAAAAGTATAATTGCAGAGGGTTCAGAAATGTTAGTAATATTTCTCCCTTCAGACCACTCAAGTTTATCACTATGAACTAGATGTCCTAAAATATTTTTACAACAGGCCCCCTTCTCTGTCAGACAGTTCAGGGGTTTTCACGAGAACCCCTAACTCTGTGAGAAGATCCTACTTTCCCCAGCTATCTCAGAGACTACCAGACAGAGGGGCAAATTAAAAGCAGAGCCCCAAAGCCCAGGAGTGAACTTTGCTCTCTCTGCTGGAGAATGCATTCATCTAACACATTCTTACTAAGATTATCTATTGTACAAGGTACCAAGACCACAAAAATGGATAAAACACAATTCCTGACCTCAAGTAACTCCTAGTAGAACGAGAGAAAAGGGATTTTACAAAAAGAGAGGGAAGGAGAATTTACAAACAATATGGCGGCTGGGTAATAAAGGAAGGCACAGTGTTCTGGGGGCACGTATGGTCGGGGGAGATGGTGGATTAGGGAAAGTCGTTTCCTAGAGGAAGCAAGTCCTCTCCTAGAGGAGGAGAAGGAATTAACCAGACAAAAAGGGGGAAAGGGCCTTCAGGCACATATGAGGCAGCAGATGACAAGCAGCGAGGCGGCTATGCAGCACGACAGCTCTCAGGTGACACTGCCTGACCTTACAAGCTCAAGACGAAGGAGCCTGCAAACGTCCAAGGTTCAATCTAGTCCCACTCTAGATCTAATAACCAATATATATCCCTTTCTTCCAGTCAGGCTGGGGTCAGACAGGTTCTGTGTGACCAGAGTGGAAGCTCCAGGGAATGGCTGTCAGCTCCACGTACAGATCTTTCCAACAGTTTTCTCCCAAGCACAGTGGGACCACATGGGGAGGTAAGGCATGATTTTTTGCTCAAGGTCTCCTCATGTTCTATCACTGCCTTTCAAAGACCACCTCAAGTGCTCTCTCTCCAACAACTGCAGCCCACGAGACAAAGGTGGCCTACTCTCTCTGTGCTCCCCTACCTTACTAACAAACTCTTACGCTTGGGGATAATCTGTCTCATGTTAAGTTTTTTTCCTAGCTATATTCTAGTTTGCTTAAAGACAGAGACTACGCCATTTTTTCCCTTGTTGTCTTTTTGGGGGAGTGGGGCATGGTACACTAGACCAACACAGGGTGCCGTGTCACACACAAATACTGAAAAAGTTACACTTTGGACAAATGGGATCAGAAAATATTATACATAACTAGAAATGTTATCCAACTAGTAATTCTCAAATTTCACCTGAAAGTAATTTATGAAGTCTGGAAACTCTTACCTTCCCACTCTCACTCAGGGGGTAAATAGGTCATAATATAAATTAGATCCAAATTCTTTGCTATTTCACCATTATAAATTAATACTCATCCTAGATGAGTATCTATTTAAGGGGCATATGACACAAATATCTAGCAGGCTCATGAAGACATCCATTCTCCTGAGGAGAAACAACAGATATGTTTCCAAAGACAGATGTGGAGCCAATGAACATGTGTAAATCCTGTAGGAGAAGAAGATTCAACAGGCAGTTTTCACTACATTTTTGGATCTTGTCCTAGAATTACTATTGATTTATGACATCTCTGAAAACACCTTCCTAACTCCACAGATATTTACAAATAGTAAAGTTAAATTCTGTGCATTTTGAGCAGCACAAAAGAGCTATACCCTGTGCTATAAAAAAAAAAAAAAAGAAGAAGAACATTCACTAAACAGTAATAAATGGACCAGGAAACAAATATAAAAGTGCTAGAGGACAACTCAAAATGTATTACGGGATAGTTAGAAATTAAGTTAGAGAGAGAGAACCATTTGGTTTTGATGGAGTGAAAGAAGGCAATCATTCATTTAAAGTTAACAACTGAGAACACGTCTACACTTTGACATCCTTCCTGAAGGAGGGGAAGAAAAAACATCTAATTCGATTATAAAACAATCAGACCTCAGGTAACTGCCTCAGATTAGCTTACCTGTTAATACTGTCATTTGCTAGCTGGATTCCGCAGTCTATTTGCAACACTGTTTTATAATCCACATAAGCTTTCCGATACTGCTCTAAAGTTTCAAAGGCCATTGCTCGTCGAAGAAGAGGCTTGATAGAGAATGGATGAAGTTCCAGAGCCCTAAAGAAGACGAAAACATTACATGTCATTTGTTTTGAAAATTAGTCTTTAACTTATACTAACTGAATTTATACTATAGCACTGGACTCTCAAACGCACACATATCTGATATTTCATCTTGGGGACCTGGCAACACACCAGAAAGGCAAACCCAGAGCAGCAGGGCAATCAAATCTGCAGCTCCTTCCTTTCTTTTAAACTGGTACCAAAGCCCTCTGGCATTTACTATTCCCTCACTGAGCCAGAGCCCCTGGCAGCAGGCAGGGTGCCTCACCCTCCCCAATGCCCTAACGGAGCCCACCATGGCGCCAGGCGCAGAGCAGGCTTTCAAGAGATTCCTGTTATTGACAGATTAAAAGGAAAATTTTTATTTGCACCTATATATTTATATTTAACAGCCAGCCCGGGTGGTCTAGTGGTTAAGATTCGGTACTCTCACCTCAGTGGCCTGGGTTCGTTTGCCAGTCAGGGAACTACACCACCAGTCTGTTGGTTGTCATGCTCTGGTGGCTGCATGTTGCTGTGATGCTGAAAGCTATGCCACCAGTATTGCAAATACCAGCAGGGTCACCCAGAGTGGACAGGTTTCAGTGGAGCTTCCAGACTAAGACAGACTAGGAGGAAGGACCTGGCCACCCATTTCTGAAAAAATTGGCGAGGAAAACTCTATGACTAGCAGCAGACATCTCCCTGATACAGCACCGGAAGGTGAAAGGATGGTGCAAGAAGACCCGGCAGGGTTCCGCTCTGCTGTACACAGGGTCGCTAGGAGTTGGAATTGACCCAATGGCACTAGCAACAATGTATATAATAGAGCACTTTAGCACAGAACCATACAAACTTATGGCACATTTTGAAAATCAGCTCTCTAAAACTTAATACAGTTTATCATGGTTTACTTGCTGCCAAAGGTCTTCAAAAACAGACCACAGGGAATCAAGAAAGCACACAATGATTTCTTGGAAGTCATGAATTTTCATCTTGCACTGTTTAGTTTATGAAGTATTTCCAGCACCACTAGAGGTATTTCAAGGTTATCTTGGTTTTGTCTGAAGTAACTGTTTAAAGCTACTTTACTACTAAATGTTCTTCACTGTATTCTGAAATAAAGCACACAATTGGAAGATCATATTTATGAATGACAACTACTGTGTTTAGTTTTAACAAAATTAACTGAAACTGTAAAGAAGGACTCTGTGCAGAGATGCTATGAAGAGCCTACCTCTCTGTAAGCCACTAATGGATCTGCACCAGACTCTCCACCTTGGGGATCACAGGTTTGCTCAACTGGTTAACTCAGCTGCAAGCAGTTTACATATCAGCTATTTAACTTGCTTCATGGAAAGCAAGAGGGAGGGCTGCTTTACTTTTTTTCCAATAGTCTTAGAGATCTGCTATCTATTCGTGTCTACAGTGTGATCTGGCAAGGAGGAAGCTCTGACAGAACATTTGCTACGTGCTAGTCACTGCAGACTTTCTCATCTAATCTCACAATGAGCCTGCAAGGTAAATATTAATTTGTTCATTTTGCAGGTGAAGAAATGGAGAGATGCATGGAGCAATCTGCCCACGTCAGTTCTTTCTAATTTAAGCTTCAGGAAGGCAAGGACCTTGCCTACCCTGAGCACCACTACATTCCCAGTGCCTAGATCAACACTGGGGCCTTGAGAGGCCCTCAGCTAGCACCTCCCAAAGGAACATGCAGAGGTTCAGGCACGCTTTCTACCACAAACACACACAAGACACTCCAAATTAGGGACCTCGGACTCCTTCACAATCCCCCACGTTTTACAGATACTCAACTGCACACGTGGGTGTGCTCCTGAAATCTGAAGTTGTTCTAGAAACGTTATTAAACCTAGTAAGCTTTGCCTTTCTAATAATAAAATAAGTAAAATAAAAATAACCAATTTTGCTCTGGCTAGGTGATAGGATTACGGGTAATTTTAATGGCCTCCTTTTTGCTGTAGTGGGTTTAAAATTTTTTCTATAATAGCTATGTGTTACTTTTGTACCAGTAAAGGTTATTTAAAAAATAAAATTAAAATCAAGTAAAAACAAACTCTAGAAAACAGATCTCTAGGCAAGAGGATCTATCACTTGTACCACTGCCTTCAATCTAGCTTAGTTTAATGCTTAGGGGATATTAACGACGTGAATAGAAATTAGATATTAGAAATATACAAATAAGTCACAGCCACATGACTATCCCCATTTCACCAGACATCCAATGCCTAAGGCACTATTTATCCACTTAAGATAGACCTGAGGTAGGCGTGGAATCTAAAACTGAGTGAGACGGTGTGTTTAATTTTTCGCATTCCCCAGCCTAGTATATGCAAGGCTTTTTCTCTTTAACCACAATCCTGAAAATGAATATGAGCTTATAAATGGAAATTCCACTAAGGAGAAAAAAAAAAGCATTCATTCATAAAAACAAGCAAACACACAGAACTTTTAAACCAGAACTTACAAAAGTTTGACTATTCAAGTTAACACAGTTAAGACCCGAGAGAGTCTTCTAATTCCACAATGTGAGAGAGCAGCAAAGATGAGCAAAAGCAGAGAATTACTAGGCAACGTTCATTAGTATCAAGTCTGTCAAAAGATCCTCAATAGAAAGTCACCGAAAGGTTTTTGCTGTGGTATACTTAACCCAAAAAGGTACTCTGACAGATGGGAAAACTGAAGATTCTTTGAGCTGAGAAACAATTACCAGAATAAGAAGCAATTTCTAGAATAACGGTTTTAAACTTTTGCTTGGGCATCATAACGCTGTTTCATGTTTCACCCGGAAGCCTAGAAACATGGAGACACTGTGGTGAGGACAGGGGCAGGGCTGGGAGACCCTGAGCCCCTCAGATACTCTTTACACTCCCAGCAGCGATCTCCTGACACATCCCAGGAAAACACCTCAGAGGAGTGCCCCACCGTAGGCCCTAGGAGTTTAGACACTAAAAATCAAATACTTTTTCCCAAAAACGCATAAAAAGTTATTTTCATAAGTAAATCCATGAAGGTTATTTCACAGGTTCCCATTTCCCCCTTATTTAAAATTTTGCCCCCATGAGTTTTCCTTTTTCAATGTTTGACTCTTGTTAACATTCAGAACACATGAATAAAGGCTCATGGAACACAAAACAACTCTCCAAGGAACAAAGATGATGAACTGAAAAACTAAAAAACAGGCTTCCTTTAAAATGTATGCAATCTTTTTGAGGTGAAGAGAAAATACAGTCATATTTCTGCTAATAAATGATGCCTAGTTCACAGAGATTTAAACACATGCATATTTCAACATGTTCACAAAAGCAAATCATGGTTTCTCCGGCAATAAAATGAGACTGAGAATCACTGCTTCGGAGTAAAATCACCCCATGCCCCTTATGCTAGGACTCATATGCCAGGGACCAAATAAGACATCTGAGTAGGCCGGTCTCGAGGGAGGTCAGCAGGGACCAGCAGAGCCAGATTCCTCGGCCTAGAACACAGCTGTCATCTAAGCACACCTTACGAAACCACTGCCCACTCCTCCCCCGCAGACCATCCCCTGCTCTCCCCAGGATAAACCTCCATTCTAGCTTCCCTGGACACCAAGCTAGAGTCCCATCTTTGACTGCACAACACACTTTAGCAAGAAAATGCCTGCTACCCTAAACAATCTCACTTAAGGACAAATTGAGTCCACTGTTTTGAGTAGCCCTAACCGTAGGGGTCCCAAGTTTTAACCAAGGAGTTCTGAACTTGCTCACTGTAGGAAGACCTAAGACAAGTCTGAAGGGTAATGTATTAGCAACAGACACTTGAGCTGAAAGGTTCTTGGCTGCAAATGACAACATGACTGATATTCTGCAAATTCACATGGTCTTATTTGTTAGCTATGGGCGGTGGAAAATGTTTAACAACCAGCTCTCCTGGGAAAAAAGCCCAGATTTGTGGCATTTGCCAATTTTCATGATGAACTCGAACCACTGCAGATCTCAAGCTACCAACTTGACTTCAACTGGCTCACGAAAATCCTGAAAATGTAACAAGTAGCTAGTGTGAGCTAGTACAACAGTGGATAGGATCTAAAGATGGACCAAAGGGAATATAAGTATTATTCATTTTAAATTTGAATATGAAAAATTCGCAAAAAATCCAAGCACCTCAGGGCCTTCTTTTTAAAGTGTACACACAGATAGTAGGAAGTGTTTACCCATATCAATATACTGACACCACCAATGGAAAAAAAAAATAAATTGTTCACCTTATAATCAAGGGTTTCACATAAGTTACTGTCCAAACCAGGGCTTCTGAGTGTGAAAGAGGGTGATTTTAATAATTATACCACACAACCGGAGTAAACCAAGACTGTGAACATCAAACTAGGACATACAACTTATCTTTTTAGATGCACTAATAGAAGCTTCTTTCTAAACAGCTCCTGAAGCAGGCTTATTACTTAATGGTTAAAGAACACAATACTTTTTATTCATGTAAATATATTCCTCCATCTCAGCATGTAACTTGTTGAGTACCATGGCTGACTGTCGTGCTTGAGGGATGCAAAGCTGGGTAAAACGTGGTTCCTGACCTCGCAGAGCTTAAAATCCAATGTAGTGAATGACACAAGTACCTACAGGTGTGACTGTGACAGTGCAAGTGTTACAGACCTGCTAATGACCAGGGGGCCTGAGGTGACCAGGAAGACAGAGGAGAGGGCAGCTGAGCAGGGATTTCAGAAGCAAAGTTCTGCAGAGGGCATTACAGACAGCGGACCAAATGGGAGCAGAAAGCTTTTGGGGGCAATGTGGTGACAGAGGAGTTTATAATTATCGAGCCCCTGAACTGCAGTTTGAAACAGTCTGAACAAAATAATGCTTCAGGAAAAGTTGTTCTGATGCCGCTGTGGATGGGAGGAGGCAGAGAGACTAGGCAGAAGGCTTCTCCAGAGTCAAGGACTGATGCGAAGAGCATGCATTAAGGTGTTAGCCGCAGAAATGAAAAATGTTTGCACAATCTTCTGTACCTGTCTTCATATGTGAAGGAGAAGAATTTACGATTTTTATGTATTAATCAATTCACATACCTTAGAACTGCCTTAAGAAATGAGACTTTTAGGCAGAAAATTCAGGATATTAAATACTGCACTCATCACAATGAAATGCTAACAGTCCCTTCTCAAACCTGAACACAGGCAGTTTACCTGTCACAATCTTGAATGCAGCCACTGCAGTTTCCTTCTTTTAGGTAACACGCTGCTCTATTTGAATATAAGACACTTAGATCATCTGCACTTCCACTTCCTAAAATCACATTGAATTAAATACAGTTAAAATCCATTAGCAAAATCACAGTGCATCAGAATTAGAAGACAAATGAGGTCTCCAGGGGCAGTGCAGTCCTACAGACTGCTGATAACAGAGCTCCGAGGAGCTGACTGTGGCCGCACTGCCCGGAGGGAAAGCCCATATGGGACAGATGCAAACCTGCCCCGCCCGGGCACATGCTACACATTCCAAGGGACTGCTCACGGAGGTCAGGTCACACATCGCCCTCGCTCACCAGGAAGGAATGTACAGACGCAAATGGCTGTCATTCAGGAGGTACCTGCGCTCCCCAGCAGAGGCCCTTTTGAGCCCGGGGCCCCCGAGGCGCAGCTCACCCACCTGCAGGCTCCAGCTGCGCGATCGCCGCCGAGTACCGGAGGGCCGCCTCGGCGAACTGCCCGCTCTGGAACAGCTCGTTGCCCTGGCTCTTCAGGCCGGCAGGGCCGACCGAGGCGGCGGGAGCGGGTGGCGGCACTCCGGGGCCGGGGCCGGAGGCGGAGGGCGCGTCGGCCGCGGCGGGGTCCCCGGCGTCCCGCCCGCCGCCCGGGGGCCCGTTGGCGCCACCCGCCGGCACCCGCCCCCGTCGGCCCCGCTTGTCCGCGCCGGCCCCTGGCGCCCGGCCCCGCCGCGGCGCGCCCCTCTCCGGCCGCTTGCTGCCCTCGCTTTTGCCGGTCAGCTTCTTCTGGATGTTGCCCATGGCTCCCGCCGGCTCGGCGGCCTCTGTGGGAAGTGGATGCGGGAAGTGAGGGTTTGCATCATCAGGAGAAACTACCGCGGATGCCGCGGGGGTGCCCGGCGCGGAGGCGCGCTCGCCGGGGAGGCCGGGCTGGCACCGCCCCTCGGGGCCGCCCCTCCAGGCGCGCGTGCGCCCAGAGGGTGTACCGCGGCGGCAGCGCGCTCCCGAGCCCGCGGCTACCTCAGCTCCGGACAGAAGCCGACCTCGAACCTAACTCTTTAAACGCTGAAGAACTTGTGACGTGAACACTGGCATTTCAAAATCATTCCCTTCATCAAAGCATTATGTGCCGAGGCAGATCTTACAAAATAGGTACTTTTCCTCTATTTACTATTCATGATTGAATGAATGGAGTTACTAAAACTTGAATACAATAATTGCACCCAAGGTTAGGGTACCGTTTCCTTATTTTAAAGGATTGGGAGAAAAAGATCATTTGAAAGAAAAATAAAGTCCAAGTGATTTTTAAGTCATTTTAAAGTGAATTTAGCAAAAAAGTCACATAAAACAAGCACCTAATTTTTGAGCTTAAAGTGAGCCTTAAAAAGACTATTCCTTTGATCTTGATTCAAAGATTTCATGTATTAAACCTTTAATAATTGATTATCGAATCTATTTTAAAACATAAAAATGATGTATAAATATTTCATTGATGGGTGTCTTATCAATATTTAAAACAAAGCAATTCATCATTTCAAAACACTGTTACAAAGTACTTAAATACTACAGAGACTTCTAAGCTTTTTTTAGCAATCTAATCTGATTCTTAATGGGTATATTTTCCATTCTGTTTCATGAATGGTAAAGCCAGGATGTGAAGCACAGAGAGGGAGGGAACAGAAAACCTCAAATACTTAAATGAAAATCAGTGGATAGTCACCATAAGGCAAGCCCTAAGTATAAAAACACTATTTAGTAAATACAGTTTCCTATACAGTGGAATAACATCCAATTTTCTATCACTAACCAAAAGGGGCTTAATTATTAAAGCAATTAAAAGATCTTGTTATAGCGGTAAGTTCCCAGATTGGACCAGTAGGATTCCTGGAGCAAGGTGGCAGTCCTCCTCATCTGGTATCTGCTACTCAAGTCCCCACCCAGTAGAAAAATGCATGGAGCATAAGTCAGCGTCAGCAGAAACAATGGACAACTTAGTATTATTGTCCATTCCCTTGTGCGTCATCCCTCCATGTCTGACCAATACTATTACTAAATAGTATTGTTTTTTTAGAACTTAATATGGGTCAAGACATTTACATATATTATCATTTTCTATTATCATTAATCTTTATACCAAGTATTATCATATCCAATTTACAAATGAGGCAACAGAGACACAAGGAAGAAGCTAAGAAATTCGCTCAAGCAGAGAGCTAGAAACCAGCATAACTGGGATTCCAGTGAAATGAACTGAATGCAAAGCTGCACCTCTTTCCTTAAGATTGAAATGTCTCTGGACAACTCTGCCAATCTCTGCAAAGAAAGGTAAGCAGAGGCCAGAACATGAAAGACCTGTGAGTCCTGTTGGGTACTGCACTACCTGTGGGACATTCCAGAGGAGTTGTTCAGGAGGTGGCTCCAAATGTAGATCAGAAGAGTGGCATTATCTAGAGACGCTGACTTGGGAGTTGCTGGCATATAAAGGATCATCAAGGTTTGGATGTGGATGGGGTCACTCACATCTTCCAAAGGATCCCTGAGAAATACTAACACTTAAATAATGATCATAGGAAGAATCTGCTGTGGAGATGGAGGAGTATGTAGAAATAGATTCTGCCTCAGAAACCAAAAAGAAAGAGTATTTCAGGGAGAAAGGAGTCAACATTAACAAATATCAAAGGAGGGAATGGTCAACAGTGTCAACTGCCTAAGGACTAAAGGGAACCATTAGATCTAAAGACCACAAGGACTTCAGTAGCCTTGGGTGGGGTAGTTTGGGTAGTTGGTGGATACAAAAATCCTCAACAAAATACTAGCAAACTGAATCCAACAGCGTATTAAAAGGATTATACATCACGACTAAGTGGGATTTATCTCAAGAATGGAAGAGTAGTTCAACAGCAGAAAATCTGTCTATACAACACACCACATTAATAGAACAAGGGGGAAAACCACATGATCAAATCTGACACTGAAAAGGCATTTGACAAAATCCAACACCCTTTCATGATAAAACACTGGGATAAGAATTAGGAACAGGGGCCAGCTCCATGGCCGAGTGATTAAGTTCATGCACTCCACTTTGGTGGCCCATGGTTTTGCCAGTTTGGATCTTGGGCACAGACCTAGCACTGCTCATCAAGCCATGCTGAGGTGGCGTCCCACACAGCAGAACTAGAAGGACCCACAGCTAAAATATACAACTATGTACTGGGGAGCTTTGGGGAGAAGAAGGAAAAATAAAATAAAATAAAAAATAAATGTTTTTTAAAAACCCCAGGAACAGAAGTGAAATTTCTCAACCTGATAAAGTAGATTTACAAAAAACTCACAGCAAACATCATAAAAATCAGGAACAAGACAAGTATGCCGTTTTCACCACAGCTACTCAGTACTGTACTGGAAGTTGTAGCCTGATCAGTTAGACAAGAAAACGAAATAAAAGGCATCCATACTAGAAAGGAAGAAGTAAAACTATCTCTCTTGGTAGATGAAATGATTATATAGAAAGAGATACATTCTTTGGGATTATAAATATAATATATAAAATATTATAATATATAACATAATATATATAATCCCAAAGAATTATATATATATGTGTGTGTATATATGTTCCCAAAGAATATACACAAACACACACAAACCTCTACTAGAGTTAATAAGCAAATTCAGCAAAGTTTCAGGGTACAAGATGAACACACAAAATCAGTTGTTTTTATACACTAGCAACAAACAATCCAAGAGGAAATTACAAAACAATTACATTTACAATAGCATCCAAAGGAATAAAATATTTAGGAATAAATTTAACCAAGGAAGTGAAAGACTTGTATACTGAAAACTACAAAAGATTGCTGAAAGAAATTAAATAAATGGAAAGATATCTCTTGATCATGGATAGGAAGACAATGTTAAGATATCAATACTACCCAAAACAATCTACAGATTCAACATAATCCCTGTGAAAATTCCACAGCCTTGTTTGCAGAAATGGAAAAGCTGATCCTCAAATTCATATGGAATAGCAAGAGGCCCAGTATAGCCAAAACAATCTTGAAAAAGAAGAACAAAATCCAAAGGACTCACACTTCTGATTGCCAAACATACTAAAAGCTACAGTAATCTAACACTGTTGTCCTGACATAAGGACAGACTATAGACCAATGGAATAGAATTGAGAGTCCAGAAATAAACCCTTACATTGGGTTTATTGCCAGTTGTTTTTTGACAAGGGTGCCAAGTCCATTCAATGGGGAAAGAATAGTCTCTTTAAGGAATGGTGTTGGGACAACTGGATTTCCACATGCTCATTAAAAAAAAAAGCTAAGTCAGACTCCTTCCTCCTTCAATCAAAATAAATCAATGACCTGGATGTAAAAGCTAAAACCATAAAACTCTTAGAAAAAAACATAGGGGTAAATCTACATGATCTTGGATTTGACAATCAATTTTTCCATATGACACCAAAGGCATAAGCAACAAAAGAAAAAATAGATAAATTGGACTTTGTCAAAATTAAAAAATTTTGTGCATCAAAGGACATTATCAAGAAAGTAAAAAGACAACCCACAAAATGGGAGAAATTATGTGCAAATTGTATATCTGATAAGGGTCTAGTATCCAGAATATATAAAGAACATTTACAATGCAACAATAAAAAGATAAATAACCTAATTTTAAAATGGGCAAAGAACTTGAATAAACATTTCTCCAAAGAAGATATACAAATGACTAATACACACATGAAAAGATGGTCAACATAAGTTATTAGGGAAATGCAAATCAAAACCCTAAGGAATTACCACTTGACACCCACTAGGATGGCTATAATCAAAAAGACAAACCATAACAAGTGTTTGCAAGAATGTGGAGAAATTGGAATCCTCATATATCGCTGGTGGAACTACAAAAAGGTGTATCCACTTTGGAAAACAGTCTGGCATTTTCTCAAGAAGTTAAATGTAGTTACCATATAACCCAGCATTCCACTCCTAGGTAAATACCCAAGAAAATAAAAAACATGTTCACACACACACATGCACACACACAAAACTTGCATGTGAATATTCATAGCAGCATTATTCATAATAGCCAAAAAGTGGAAACAAGCCAAACATTTACCAACTGATGAATGGATAAAGAAAATGTGGTATTAGCCATGCAATGGAATATTATTTGTCCGTAAAAAGGAATGAAGTACTAATACATGATGCAACATGGATAAACTTGAAACACTATGCTAAGTGAAAGAAGCCAGACACAAAGGGCCACATATTGTATGATTCCATTTACATGAGATATTCAGAACAGGCAAATCTATAGAGACAGAAAGTAGATTAGTGGTTGCCAGGGGAAGGGGAGATGGGAGTGACTGCTAATGGGTATGGAATTTCTTTTGTGATGATAAAAATGTTCTGGAATTAGACAGGGATGATGGTTGCACAATCTTGTGAATATACTAAAATCCACTGAATCTGAAAAGGATGAATTTTATGATATATGAATTATATCTAAATTTTTAAAAAAAGAGTGCTTATTTCATCTTACCCTTGACAACAAATCATACTTTCTTTTTTTTCTACCTTGGCCAATTTGATGGGAGAAAAAATAATAATCTATATTTAATTTTCATTTTTTCATTAGCAATACAAAATTTATTGATTATTTAGTTTCTTCATGAGTGATTTATCCGTTCATATGCTTTGTTCATGTTGGTACTGGGCTCTTTAACGTCTTCTTATTGTTTCATAAAAGCTCTTCATATTATAAGGTTATCGACTTGACATTTTTCCTAGTTTGTCATTTGCCTTTTTATTTTTTT